TTTGTGTCTCGTACCATCGCTCGTTAAAGTGATACTGGTAGCGTAGGCCGACGTCAGGGAAGTGAACAAAAGAAGACAACAATTGTGTCTGAAACATGCAATGTTTCGCCAAAGGATGTTTCGCCACATAGGAATTTATTAAAGTAAAGTCCCCACAATGGAATATCCCCAAGTCCACTTTCACATCTAATGTGTGGCCAGAAAAGAAAATTTTGTATTCTATTGAATTTGCAACCCCCAAAAGAATATTGGTTGGGAACGTAGATTTGAGATGTACATCTATATGAAATAAATTTCGAAAACATGAACAAATCACAAATAAAAGAAAGTTGTGTTAGTTACTACGCTAATAACTTAAGAATCGCTGGACTGATTTTAACGATTCATACAAATTCGGAAACGTCTATTGGCGGAAAGGATAAAATCCAAAAAAATCGCGTAAAAATGTGATATATTAACATTTTCATTTTGACTTTTGAAATGTACAATACTAGTGTTTTATTTTGCATGATTTTTTTTTTCAATTTGACTTACTTTTTTCGAATAAACATTTGTAGTGTTTTTTATATTTAATTTTTGAATTCGAATCAAGTCAATTAAATAAATTGATTTAATTGACTTGATTTCTTGAGAACTGAAATTGAAGGCAAGTTATATTGAAGTGTAGTGCCGAATTATGTGGTGGCGAAACGGAATAGATGATATCGAAATAATTTAACGCGGTCACAAAGTTAAAAGATAATTACTTTTTCAACATCGCTAAAAATCACGAAAATCGGGAAAAAATCAAAAAAAAAATCAATGGAATCGAATTTTAAAATAATAGTATATACTATTGACAAACTTCGTAAGGACCTTTAAACTTTTGCTGTAAAAAATCATCGAACAAGTTGACGACTTTGTTTTTCTTTTTTTTTTTTTTTTGTCCATTTTATATAATGTAGGATTTTTTTTCAATTTGGCTTATCACATTGAATTCAATCGGTTTTTTGTAAACAAAATAAAGAATTATTATCACAATATAAAAGACAGATATGTTAGGTACTACGCTGTGAATGAAAAAAATCTTTTTGGTGCTTTTTTTCAATTTGACATACTATATTGAAGTGAGAAATTTTCATTATTTTGAATTCTGAATGAATGATATTAAAAATGAAAAGAGTGACCTACGTGGTCCTACTTCTTTCATATGACAATAATCCGACCAATGAGAACTAAAATGCAATTAATTGGGACTGCAATCAGTGAAATACCGAATATAAAGAGTGTAAAATGGTAGAGCGAATTGATCATTTAATAAAAAAGGATTTATATCGTACCAGAAATTCTTCCTAAACTTTCAAGATACCTTAAATCGCTTTTGCCGGTCATGATATATGTCCCCCGTATAAAGGTACAACCCAATTTAAGTATTTTCGGGTCTTCGACATTTATTTTTTCATTTTTAGGCCTTTATTTGGCATGTTCGTTTCTAAGGGGGTAGAAAACCTCTTCTCATGAAATTTTCAATTTTGTGAGTAGGGTCCATCATCAAAAAGAACATACCCGCAACGTTATAATTGATAGAGAATTCTTATTTTTAATTAAGATCGTTTATAGGCAAATATTAGCATATGTGGTAGTAAAAATGTCGCATGAGAAATCTTGTGTACTTGGTGTGTTTTCAAAAAATCAGCAAAATCTTAAGAATTGGACTATTTAATTTATTATAACAACGTTATGCTCGAAAAGCATAAGAAATTTGAAACTGTTTGGTGTTTCGCACTGTCCTTTTAAAATTAAATGTGAATGTTTGCGTACTCTGAAATACTAACCACATAAGACCACCAGACTCCTTTGCTCCTTGCAATCAATAACACTGGACAAAGGAGTCCAGCTGTCCAACTGGTTTACCCAACAATCACCCTCCCCCTAATATTAGACGGAATGTTGGCATGTTTCATGTGTATGCATGTACGTTGGGGTATATGCGAATTTAGGTTGAATCGTCATCAACTACCACTACTACAGCTATGCATAAATGTCATACAAGTGGCCAAGAACCTTAGAACAGCATCCTTTTGTACCAAAGGCGCACTGGGTAGACGCTCTGAATGGGAATATCTTGATACTTACGAATGTATATAAGAACGGACATATATACGTATGTATGTGTGTATGTTGGTTTGTGTGTGTGTATGTATGTACGATTGTAATGTTGTGAGACATGTATTCACGAACAACGATTCACTTTAGATTTTTCTTTAGTGACCAACAAAAATTTGCCCGCACGCAAATTTTGTCAGCCCAAACACACGCACTCACACAACATTCAGGTACGGATGACTGGCTGTATCCTTCGCATGTCCATTCTGCGTATGCTCACACATTTAAACATATAACAGCGAAAGGACACTGGACGTTTGTGTGGGAGTGTGTGTTGCGAAGTGTGCACACATACCAAGATTCATCTATTGTTGTTTAGTTATTTCTAATCAGTTTGAGACGACGTACAAGAACACAATCAGCTAACTACGACTATGTATGTATGTACGCACGTAGGTGTGTTCGTATATTCACTGTGGACTTATGCACAGAACGAGTGAGTTGGTTGAACATTTGGATATACATACATACATACTACGACCGTTGTCTCTATGGGTAGGTAGTATCGCAAGTTGTTAATTCTTCTTGTTCCTTGAAAGACCCTTTTTCTGTGCAACGTTGCTGGTTATTTGCATAACCTTTTCTCGATACTTCTTCGTCCATCCCAATTTATATATGCAAACGCACACAGCCACACAAAGTTAAAATGTGCCCAGTTGTTGGTAGGAAATACTGCTGTAGAAAAGTTGCCGTGAAAACTGCGCCAAGCTGTAGGAAGAAGAAAGACAGAATCTTAGTCGGTTGCCGGACAGCTTACAAACTATCTGACCAAACGACGAAAGAACATACCATTTCCAACTGTGCACACAAATGGACACACAAATGTATGCGAGTATGTATGTATGTCTTGCATATGTACGGTCAAACTAACACATGCAAGACATCAACGATGTCCAAGAATGAGGAACAATGGTTGTAGCCCAAACACACCTAAAATCGACATATAACGATTACGCAGACTTGGAAGGATGCCAACTATATTGACCGCCATGGAGAACGCAACACATACGGTATCACGTGCAAGAAAGAATCAGAAGATGTCGCTCATATTACAAACGCCAAGAAAACAAGTGAATCAACAACAAATTGAATATGCCCCTGCGGAGTCAGGACGGCGGTCGTTATGGCTATAAAGATGACTGTGATGTTTATGTTGATGTATGTAAAAAAATAAATTAAGGACTACCAGAAGATGTCCTTTAGTATGAAAAGGGGTCTATATATGTAGATTCTATATTTGCTCCTTTGCCCATGTGCTGATGAAAAGAAATGGATAGAAATCATTTTACCCGGTCTTAAGGACTTGTAGATTTACAACTGAATCCTATGCGGAAGCTATGCATGTATTGCTTAGACAAAAGTATTCGTTCATATAATGATTTTGGGCAATCTTAAAGATTGACAAATGTGTCTGGAACCCAGTCCCTTTACAAATTAAAATCTCCCTCTACAGGCAGATACAGCCACAAAGATCTACTACTTGGTCCTTTTATAATTTACTTAAAAGATTAATTCAATGAAAAATTAAATAACTGCTGGCCGACACATAATTCGGATTTTTTTAAACAGAAGTTTTCTTCCTATTAAAGTTTTATTTCTTTCGATCTTTAGATCGTCTTGAGCTGAACGTACCACTGTTAGTATGTATAACATACAATTGCTACCAAATTGAGCACTTCAAACAAATCTTGGCCGTCTTTTGCCTTCTTCGGCCATAATTTTCAAATTCAAGAAATAATACATCATCGTATTCAGCATCGCCTTGATGTGTTTGCAACACATTGACACTTCTGTTGGACGCGCATGTGTGGGCAATATAGAGTGGCAAGGCAGCTAGATACAACACGTCGAATGCAACATGCGTATGCCCATTGACCACATGTATGGACTGAAATCCTTACGACTATCCGTTAGGTTGAGCAACATCTTTGTATGAAAATGAAACCCATTTGTGCTTTCCATCGTACGTTGGTTTCTTGGATGCAAACAAGGGTCGTATGCCTGCTTCTTGCGCTGGCTATCTCCTTACGATGATCTTTGGTTTGGTGGTGTGACCAAAGGTGATTTTGTCGTTGTTTGTATTATTTTTGTTAACTCCGAAAAGTGGCAACGTACGCATTTAGGCGGTTTTGGAAATGGTCAAGTGAATCCAGAAAACTTACATATACCTTCATATATAGCTAGGTATGTCCAGGCACATAGATATGTATGTATATACACAGGCACCGATAAATCTGCGTTCGTTGCTTGTGTGTGCCCTAACAAGATGTACATGTTCGCATATTATTATATACATATAAATCTACGCGAAGAAGTTCATGTGTGGGTAAGTACACAACAATATGTTTAAACTTATGTGTATTGTATATGCAAACTATTACAGCTCCGTTGAGTGGAATCAGAAAACCTCGGAAAATGAAGGGTCATCCACCAACCAACATTTGCAAATGGCTAAGAAAATGCAAGTCCGGGAATATGATACGAGAACGGGCTGGAATAATTGGTTGACGCATTGGTTGGAATCAACTATAATTATTTGAATATACCAACCTACCTTCTTACCTACCCAAAACTATATGTATGGCCCTCGCAAAAAATGTCAGGGACGCGCTGCGCGGGCTTGTATGGGCCTAGTTTGGATAACGCCACTGAAAAACGGCGTGTGTGCAGTGATGGACACAACTTAAATAGTAACTAAATTTTTGTCTCACAACATATATTTTTCTTCATTCGTCTTGCGCGCCTTCTCAATCTATGTTAGCGCAAGCAGAGTATTAAAGACCTTTGACGTCGCCATCGTCACTACCGTAATATTCTTGCATGCCATTTTCGCCGTTAATCATTGTACTTTTGACTGTCACCCAAAACAGCGCGTAGTTTTGCAGCCAAACTCACAATAATAAGAAACGGTCAGTCAGCACAAGTGACCGATTGTGAGAAACAACCACACAAACACAACGGCTGGCTGGCTACCCACCACCAACGCCACCACCAATCTGTCACTATGTACATATATTTGTGTTTACATCTCTGTGTGTGTTAGTTCGTGCGACTGCCTTGACTATATGTTTGTAGCAAGAAATCCTTTCGTCGCGCTAATTCAATATTCGCTCACGAGACTCGCGGTAGTTTGTCGCCGAACGCGAAGTTTATAGGTTCGCTGTCACAGTCAAAACAAAACACGGTCACATCCTTTCTGTCCTCGAACAAGTGAACACAGTGATTGTCGCGTAAATTAAAAGGCTCTGTAAAACAACGAAAACGCCATTGAATTGCGAATTTCATCGTGTTGAAACCGAAAAAAAAAACAAAACAACAGCAACAGCAAGCATTTGCAATTGACAGTCAAGCTCATTCGATTGTTCCGTTCATATAGATGCTTCGACGCCTTTGACAAATCTTTACCAATTTTCTCAATAAAATATCCTGGACATTGCAATAATTTCAAACAAAAAAAAAATTGTGTCATCCAAATTAAACAGTTCGTACCACCTTCAATGAAAACATTGATCGCTAATTAGATGCACTTGTTTCAATAATTAAAAAAAAAATTGAGTGATATAGTAAAAAAACATTAATATTTATCTTCCTGCATCTCATTGAATATTGGGAGACATCAACCTTTTTCCTAGAAATTGTTAAAATAAAGGTAAGTTATTATGGGAATAAATGTGTGAAAACAAAATTTATATGTACATATTTGTGACACTTATCGGTTAAATTGAGTGATTAATCAGTGGTGACAGAGGTTTAAAATGTCAACGTAATTATTCTATAATGAAAAATAAAGTACTGTATAAATATAAAATATTAAATGGAATATATATATATATATATATATATATATATATATATATATATATATATATATATATTTTTTTTTTTTTTTTAAATATTTAAATCATAAGTATTCTAAACGTTAATAAATAAAGCGATTAAATATTAATTGGAATTTTTAATTTATTTCTTCGTTTTGTCTATAATTTTTAATAAAAATTTTTTCTTGTTATTCAATGTGAAGAAAATATGAATAAATAAATTTTCAGAATACAAACCATATTTAATGTTAAAAAGTATGTGCACTTTTATTTCGTATGGCATGTCATAATGCCGAGTCAATCGTTTTATTTTTCATAGTACAACAATTCAGAATTCCTTTTTTTTGTTTGATTTCTTACATATCTTCGATTTCAGCTTGTACATAATGATAATTCCATGATTTCAAAATTATGTTTTTATGTTTATTAATGTTTTTAATTATGTATGAGAATGGCCACTGGGAGTTAATGTGACAATACTCACGAAACAAATATACGATAGGCCGCAACAGCCACGATCTTTTACGAAAATATTAAAAAATGGTGTTGTCACATTAACTCCCAATATTTTGGTAGAAGGACAAACGTCTTCAAAGGATATTGCCATAACTCAGGGAATATCAAATGATTGCAGGGAGCTGGAACATTATTAAATTAAAATACGTAAACACCTGATGATATTATTTAATGGCGTTGGAATGTATCACATTCCCAAAATTATTCTTGTTTTTTTTTTTTTTTTTTTTTTTTTGAGAGGACCAAAGGAAAGTTTTTTTTATAATAACAGACATTCTATTCATTTGGAAGCACCAATAGTGCATCTGCAATTTTAATTTTTTTAATCTCAGAAATAAAAAAACAACTGTAAATATAGCTCCACTTTTCGGTATAGCCCGATATTAGCCATTCTCATAACGGAGGGTATTGTTATACTAAGGTTATTACACTATACGAACATATGTATGGTTATCATCATAGCGCATTTACCTACATTTTTGATTTTATCCGGATTAACCTTCACTCAGGATTTATTGGATTGATCCGATTTTAAACTAGATTTAGTTTTATTTTATTATTCAATATGACATTTACATACCAACAGCTGTTCGCACACAAAAATCCATCAATTTGAAGTGAAGTGACTTTACTAAACGTTATTAAATTTACCTAGGAACAATAATAAAAAATAAATAAATTTTTCGGCCCGTGCTAAATCATTAGAGCAAATATTATTTTCTTTGCAGACGCTCACAAAAGTAGTTATTGCTTTATCGATAACGAATAGTAGGATTCATTTACTCATTTTTTGAGTTACCGACAAATATCAGAAAAATTAAAATGCAAAATCATTAATGAAAAGTCTAAATAAAAGTTGGCAGCGCTGTTGCTATCGGTAGGACTTAGCGACTACTTTTTTAATTGCTATATTGTCGAAATTTTTCGTAGATTACCAAAAACAGTAAAGCATTTAAATTTTAACGACTGTTGTCGTTAACGATCTTTATCTTTAAAGAAAAATATTTTAGAAAATAAAATTGAAATACCTTCAAATATGCTTAACATAACTGCGTTTTTAACTAGATACACCTTTACCTCTCATGACTGAAATAGTCGTTCGGATTAGAACTGACAGGATGCAAAGAATACAAGTTAGGTCATATTGAGCAATTAATTCTATTTTTTACTTGCAAGGCTTATCATGTCAAACAATGTTGTGTTTGTATTTTTTTAAATATAGAAATATAAAAAATGACCCATTTTTGACCCAATAAATCATTAATGATATCTAAATCATTTATTTCAAATGATATCTGAATCATTTATTTCTGACAGCAAAATTTATACAGGTAGGCCTGTTTTCTCACAACTTTCTCAAAATTGTGCTATCTTATATTTATTGCACCATGATAACAGACACAAATTGCCAACTATTTTGAAAGCACTAGGCAAAGGCTGTTTCTGCAGGTCCCTTTTGACTAGCAAAACGAATCTGTAAAGATATTGGAATATTTAATTGGACTATTTACAAAATCATTGCAAATATCAAGCTTCTATTCCTAGGTCTTTATATAATGTAATAACTTCCGATTCGAACAACAACAACTACATCATAGACCTGAAACAAATATTTGTCATATAACTACTTTCACTAGAAGAGCATTAAACGTCTTTCATGCATACGTATGTTTTTGGTCCATTGCAGTTTTGAAATATATTCCTGACAAAAGTTTAATCTCGGGTTTTCGCCATATCTACCACTCCGTTCAAAATTTCATGGAGATGACCCTGTATTTACGCCATCAGTGGTGCTAATGACAGATTAGATTCTTCTACATATTGTGATAAATCTCCGATATCTGACCAAAAAACATTAGTGAAATCAGCATCCATGCAAGGATGGGGAAGTACCCTTGTTAGATAATAATACTTGCGGTTGAATAGAAAGTTTGGTATTTTTCACACAAAAATTGTGGTCAATTTAATCCTGTATATATTTTATAAATATCTGCGAAAATAATGGTCTTCTCCTGTAATCATTACCCTAAATTCATTTAACATTTCATGGGAATGGAGTAATAACTATGACCAGCAGACATTTGTACCCAACGAACGGGTACAAATGTCTAGACCGAAGTTACTAGACAATTCTGGCAGGAAAGGTAACCAGACAAACCTAATAACAAACAAAACTACTTAAAACTGATTAATTTTTTTACGGGATCAATTAGGGGATATAAATGCAACATTTTATTATTGCATTAAACGCTAAACTAGATTGGCAATTGTTTGATCACTGATATTAGTTCATGGGGATCAATTGACTGACGCTCTTTTTATAAAATCCGTCAGTCGAAATAGTTCGATTGTGAACTATACAAATTTAGTTTTTATTGTGGCGAAGACTTCCAAGGCTTAAATTTACGGTTTCTGTACATTAAATTTGGAGTAATATTGTTTGAGTAATTATTCGCAGAGCATAAATTGAAGACCAATCTGTTTGAAAATGAGACAAGGTCCTTCAAAATAACAATAATGGGGTGCTAATGTTATGGTTGTTGATATGTGATATGGGTACTCCATCGCATTTGCTTTAAATGATAATATTCCAAATTTTAGCTAAGATACTTAAAATTTGCTTAGAAATACATATATAACCTTCAAAATATTTAAAATCCGAAGATGCCGTTGTATGTGGTATTCTACATACTGATAACCCAGAACGTAAAATGATCCATCATTCTGTTTGAAACTCTGGCAATACTGAAAATTAAGAGGCACCATTTGTTTTCAATACCAATTATTTTAGGCATAATATTTAAAAACAACACACCTCCAAGGCTCTACATAAACCATTCCATCTAAATTGCACCTTCTCTACTCAGTTCCATACACTCAAAGTATTTTATCATCACGAACACACCCATTGTGAGTGCTGTGCAAAATCATAAGTCTGCTGTGCAAAATCATAAGTTGTCAATTTTTCTTATAATATTCATTATCGCTTATGCGATATTTAATTCACTCAATTTACCCTGAAATATCCCCTATTATTTTGAGATAATAATAAAATAGACAAACTATTTATTTTTGCCGGCAGAAATTTTTGTTTAAACATATTGCAAAGACATAATATAGTAAGATGGGATATTTCATTGTTGCTTTGAGACAATAGATGGCGTTGGTAGTAGAACCATATGTTATATCACCATATCGTGACATAGCATTATGATATATTATAACAGAGCTAACAATTTTTTAGGTTTTGCTGACTTTTATCGATTCTATGTACAAGAAAATGCTCTGAAAAGGATTTTGAAATGATGACTTTTTTACCGCTGTTCCCGCCATTTTTTCGTGATTTCGGAATAACATATTTCTGTAATATTTCTAATGCATTTTGTCATGAGGTCATCTATAACCTGATAGAAAAATAAAATGGCCATATGCATTTTGTCCAATCTTTATAGTTTTATGTCTTTGGATATAGACATCTATGCAGTTATTTTATCTCCATTTTAAAATAAAAACACATCATATATTATTACGAATGCAATACAAATGCAGTAGTTTTTCTAATATCAGCAGTCTTTCTAAATTTATCCGTTGAAATTTGTGTGTTATTTTTTTAATTAGATTTATCATCCCAATTGTACCCTTGAAATGCATGGAAATGATCTGAATTTCCAATGAAAATTCGTCTCTACTGATAGTAGCCATTATCTTCGCCAACAGGCAAAATTTTTCCACCTGGTACCCCAAAGTTGTTCTTAAGAGGTGATACTGTTTGTGGCAGTTTATGGTCCTTACTTTTTTTGAAACTAAGACTGGATCAAAAGTTACGATGAATGGATTCCATATGGTCAAAATTGAATGATACTGATCTGGACAATATTTTCTTTCAACAAGACGTCGCTACGTGCCACACAAGCAACAAAACTATTGTTCTTTTAAGAGAAATTATCTTTCCATTTAACTCCTTGTAACTTCTTTCTGTGGGATCACGCAATATATACGGTCTAAACCTCTGAGATTGAAATCATGCTAAATATCTGAAATGTGGTCCAGACGATGATTTCAATGATATTGTTTTTCCATTATTGACGCCATAATTTTATTGTATTCTTTAACTGAACTTTAGTGCAGTTGTCTAAAAAGTAGTCAGGTCCATAATGTTGTAATTCGGTTATAAGCATTATGCATATATTTATTACGTTAAAGGTATTCTTATTTCACTTGTAGATAACAATTATATTGTTAATAAGTTCATAAGGTGTTGTCATTGGCCTCCAAAACAAAACAACAACAACGGGTATTCATATTGAGATGAACTATTTTATTGCACGTCTTTGCCGAACCCACATGCTCATTGGCTCTGGCACATCAACCTTTCGCGCTAACACATTCCATTAGAAAATGCATGCAATCATTAATTCCCACATAAGTAGGTACTTAACCAGATGTACACACATATACATATATATGCACATGCATACATACGTATAAATGCTATATGAAGCATTAAAGCTAAACAGCTGATTTGTCGGCATATCACCCCCGCATATGTATTCACGCTAGTTCCATAAATAGGGCAAACAAGAAGCCCATTCACACGCTGTGACATATATCAGAACTTATACATTAATGTATGAGCTAACCTCATCGCATATATGCATATACATATATGTATGTGTTTGTGTATATATATATTGAATATATAAGTATTTGTGTTAAACTACACATGTGTTAAATCAAAGCACATATCAAGTTCAAGAATTATCGTCAAGTTCACGTTTATTGCATTGTCTCGACCGGCATTTGTGCTTATTTTCTTGCTCGCTTTTTTATTTTAATATAATATATACGATTATATCTATGTACATACATGTACACAAATAAAAAAAATATATACAAATAAATACGAACTGTGTTGTATGTACATGGCGAGTATGTGTGTGTGTGGTAAGTATGTAGTGAAATAGCCGGCCAGTCTATAGCTTACTTTTTCGATACCACATTGTCTCCCTGAAACCTAAATCTATTAAAAATACATCGAAAAAAAGAGATAAAACAGAACTTAGAAGAAAATTCAAAAAGTTGTCTGCAGTAGCACACAGACAATGAAAGAAAACTTGGACAAGAAGCATTGGAAGGACAAGAACTGTTGGGATCGCATTTTTTTATTTGCGAAATATTTTTTCACATTAAATTGTTACTGCTGTTGACCTTTATTTGATAGACTCTTTGCGTTAACATGCTTGTGTGTCACGGTACATATAGATATATATATATATATATATATATATATATATATATATATACACACACATACATATATGTCTGGATGGCTGCAATGCCACAGACGATAGTAATAAACCATGCCCCCGCCCATTGACTTGCTAACTGATAAACGGTAAACATGTAATAAAATTATGTGTAATTGGGGGGAATACAATCACGAAGTACTACTGCATCGCCACACATACCCACAGAAAGTATGCAGTATGTCTGAATAAACATACTTACACTTGTTTGCTACCACATGTGTTAGAATGTGTACCATAAAATTGTTCCGGCAAATATGGGGCAAACTTGCACCAACGTGCAATATAATTTCTTTTTCTTTTTTTTTTAATAAAAAAATAAGAATGTAACTACAGGCGAGACGATGGGTTGGATGAAAGAGAAAGTTAAAAATGAAACTCATATTGAAAACAACTTTATAAGCAGATTATCACTCGCTTAAGTGCATGTGTATGCTTGGGTGTTCAAATAAATACGCGTACATATTTATTTATATGTACATATATTTGAAAAAAAAACGTTGAATGTCGCGCGTGTTCAAAAAAAATATTTAACGGCATGCCATTATCCGATGATCGCGTTGTGCCTAGTTAGACATCACATTAATCCCCCACCATGCAAATGCCAAAAAAAATAAAAATAAATGACCAGATCAAATCTATCTGCAGATTACCTAGGTATTTAGTAAGTTGAGTAGTAAGCTACCGATTTTTAAGCATATAACCTATCGGATTTGAATGAATCAGGACACATAATTTGAATTACAATCATATGCCAGAGACTAAATCTCCGTGTTAAAGATTACAGAGAATCTATATTGAGTAGAGAATCTATGCTAGCCAACAAGTATCGTATATTCGAAGGAGGTAATGCGTATGCAAACACATCAGAGGAACAGTGTCTTCCATTTGCCGGCTGAAAAGGAACACAAATTACTCTTAAAATTTTCTCTTAGGCATCACTGTCTCTTTTGTTAATTTGTACACGTTGACATGCGCAAAACATGTTTTTGTACTGTACACAACATATCGTGAAGCTTTCAAATGGAGGCGGAGTCCATGTATTTTTCCTTTTCATTCGCACACATTGAGAAAACTGTAAGCAATAGGCTCCTTTATCTACCTGTTTAAGTTCTGTCAGAGGGATGTTGGCATGCAATTTTTTTAGGAAAAATACTTGTAGCACAACGTCACCTACAGGTAAAGGAGTGATATATTGAATGTAATAAGTAGCACGTGGAAAATGCGCGTTTGTCCCAGCTTGTTGCTTATTCGTGAATAATCTTCAAACAGGGAACGCGTGTAAATGGTTGCTTTTCCCTTGTGTCAGAATGGTGGTGGCAAACCTGACGAATAACTGCGCCAATTAGCTCTTTCCGTCGAATATGCTATTGTCTATAACCCCTCCTGCGCTGTTAAGAGTATGCAAATTGAACGTGGGTATATTTGGGTTTCCTTCGCATTTCAATATTAACGTACATACAATGTGTGTGTGTGTTTATGCCACTTACATATATACCAGTTTTTGGACGAATAATAAACGTTTCGTGAAAACGCGACTAAACTCTGAGGACTATTTGAAAGAGGCGCAAGTTGTTATTGGATGAACATGCTTCGGTGATGTATCTATTTCGGCTGAAGAAATTAATATGCACCATCGAATCATCCCTTGTATAAACTGTTAAATAATGCCGCAAACTTTAAAAACATTGACGAATAAGAATTCGATGCACTTTTTGCTTATTGCAGTTTTGCCTTAAAAAGAACAAAAAAACACATCAACAATTAGCATTTACATATTTATACATATGGGCATGTATATATCCATTTTTAAATATGCCAAATATAGTAGCCCCATTGATAATCGACAACCCACGTTTCTTTCTCTTTCCAGATTTCAAACTGTTTGACAAAGGAATTAAGTTGGACCTTTCCAGCTTTCCACAGATGAACGTACGGATAAGCACCAAGGGCAAACGCCCTCTGCGGAGCTTGACCCCAAGCGACAAAGTGCACGCGATTCAACGCATACACGATGGCGAATCCAAGGCGTCGGTTGCACGAGATATCGGGGTCCCGGAATCAACTCTTCGAGGTTGGTGCAAAAACGAAGACAAACTACGTTTTATGTCACGTCAAGCCGCCGCGGAGAAATACGGAAACGAGTCCCTAACTGTGAAGCACGATGGCACTACCAGCATGTTGGGGGGACCGGCTGAAAAACGTCAGCGTTTGGACCCCTCATTGGCTTTGAACTTTTCCAACAAAATTAAATATGATGACCTGAATTCTTTTAAACGGGCACAAATGAATGGATTGGATTTCAGTAATAACAAGGCTCTAACTGATTTGGGAAATTTTAGCGGCATGTCTCAGGACTATGCATCTTTCAATGGTTCTTCTAAAAAGCCTCTATACAATACCGATATATCCCGTGTAACAGATCCAACAATCTCAGCTGTCAGTCCGCTGTCGAGCTTAACTCATCTATCTGGTCTTACTGGTTTAAATCAGTCACCACTAGCGATTAGTTTCAATGAGCTTACCACAAATTTGACCCTGCTAGCTCAATTAAACCCAAATTTAGCAGCGATTTCTGGAATAAATAACATTAACGGCATGAACGCGAATTTCAAGGCTAAACCAGCATCTCAGCAGCCCAGTCCCCGGGATCCGTCTGAGAAACATTCTGGCATAAGTGTGAAGAATTGGGCAAAACAGAATCAGTCAACTCCCACGTCAAACGAGTCCAATACATGCGGTCTCAACTTATGCCAAAATGAAGAAAAAATCCAAATGAAAAGCCAGAATTCCAGCATACCAACACCAGCACAGTTAGGATCGGCAATGCCATTGCTTTCATCTATATCGGAAGATCCTCTCTTGTATTGGCTCAAGTCACAACAAGCAATTTTAGGGTTTAATAACATGTATCCACATAACCCTGTTCTTGGCGCACCCAGCTCTCCAATACGGACATCTACTCCACAACAGGGGAATTTCAATTCTGGCACACCACCCATTATTCCCAATACGTTGACACCGTCTTCGACACCCTCTGGCAGCCTGGATGATAAAAATGCGGCATGGTTTAATTGGTGCAAGGCGTTCGGTGTAAGTTTGAATTCGCTTACACCAGCTGCAGTTGTTTCTGCCCTCCAAGGCAACACTAACTCCAACAATATTCACTCGCCCAATAATATGGAAAATTGTGATCAACAGATAACTACTAAGACTGGGTATGAAAATATCTTGTACTCACAATTAACCAAAGACTCCATATCCAATTGCTCAGCTAATAGTGAGACTGCATTGGAGCAAGAACATGTAGAAAGATTGGAAAATTCAGCATTGTGCAACAAGCCAGAAGACCTTTCAGCAAAAACATTTAAAACCAGTCCGCCGTCTACACCGGTTCCAACACCAGAGCCATTGCCATTGCATGAACATGATCAATTATCGGACAAAATCCGTTCAGATGCTAGGCAGGACATAGATAATGTCAATAGCTCTGGTCCAATGGCATTGGGAGTAACCCAAAATAAAGTAGTCGATTGTAAAGACGTTATAGACAACATCCTTTATAAGATTAGCACTAAATCCAAACCAGAATCCCGTTTAAGTGAGGAGGGAGACCAAGCAAATTCCAATGATGATGATGACGACGACGATAGCATCCATAACAATAATAACAATTCCAACAAAACTGACGAAGAGCATTGGAATAAGTGCAACGACTTTGATTGTAGAGATGAGACTGACACAAACAGCAAGGAAGCCATCAAGTACGGCGAGAAGTTTTTACAGTGGTTAGAAAACTGCAGTAATCCACGCGTAACTGCCGTTCAACTAATGCAACTAAGGCTTCTCATATCTTCGATTAAGGATACCGACGACACATCGTTGAAACAAAACAACGAAATCAATAAGGATTCAAGTATAGAAATTGATGGTTCATCGGAGGAGGGGGTCTCCTTCAAGCCACGTCGTCGAAAATAGAGCCAACCAAAATTAGCTCCCGATTAAGCGCCAGACTATCACTGATTTGGGTAGAATATTTATCTGGTGCATCACTTTAAATCAGTGCTGATATCGGAAACCAAATACTATTCACATCGACAATTCAATGCCATTTTTTAACTGGCAATTATTTCAGTTAGTACTGCTGCCGCTTCTCAGATCTTGATAGTGAAGAATATTCCTAAAATAGCTATAAGCATCGATCCATTCTAATCTTCCGTTGATCCTTATTGTACAATTTTCCTAGTATCCATAGAGTCAAATACATACGTATGTCTGTACATAGATAGATATAACTTTTATTAATTTTAAATGTTAAAACTACTTTATTACGTATGAATAAATGAATGAAGATAGATTATACATAACGCATACAGTGCATGTTATGTACAACGTGAAATTGTAGTAAAAGTAAGAATTGATATTTGTATAAAATACATTTGAACACTTATCCACATTGAGTTTCTATAGAATTAATTAAACAAATTCATAAAATAATAATAAAAATGATAATTTTACTGATACAAAATTTATTTCTCAATAATTGGTTTTAATAACTTCACATCATACTCGGCGGTCCGTCAATATTTTTGAGCCAATTTTTTGGTCGAGTGCCATGTTGGACGTTGCACTTATTTATATGAAGCAAACAACAATGTGTATTGTTGTGAGGTGGCGCTGCATTTAGACAACATGAATCAAACTTGGGAGCTATTATTATTTGCAAGGTAGAAGCAAAGCTACAACAAATACCAAGTACCACGTTCAGAGTTATATGTGCCAGACTTAAAGGAATATCTCGAGCGGTATCGCTTTTTCCCTAACGTGGACGAAGTTTTCACTTTGTAGGCGTAGACGTTCAATATTCGTTGTTAGAATCGAAAATATTTAAGTTTTGCTGACGTTACAATAAGAAGCAAACATTTTATGTAAAAAGTGAAACAAAAATTAAGAACATTGTTTCTTGGGGTAAGTTGAACTTAAATTTTCGCCAGTACCTTACCGACAAATATTGATCATACTGTCATCAGTTTTTTATTCTAACGTAATTAGTTAGAGAATCGGACTTTAGGTCAATATTCGACAATATACCACTATGTATATTTACTAGAGCTACCTGTAACGAATAAATGTTTTTTTTTTTTTTTGGAATATAGATCATGCCAACCATGGCACAATTACAGAAGGTAGGACAGAGCTACCCCCCAAATACAATTTTTTTGTTTTGGTGCCCTTATTCTGTCAAAACATATACACATTTTGTGCATGTTTGTGTATTGTTTTGAATAAAAAGTACAATAATTTTTAAATTATTTCAAATTTGGTTGCAAAATAAATGCGAATTTTCGACATTAATAAATAACAACTTGCACAATTTTGTAATCAAACTGTACTGCTAAACTACTATTTTAGATTCCACCTTGTGGAATAACCCCGAAATTCCACTCTTGTTTCGCGGTTTTTTTCCCAATATAAGATTTTTTTAAACAAAATTAAAAATAAACAAAGCCTACAGTTGCATATTTAAAATATTATTTGACACTATAAGACTCCAGCACAGAGTTGCTTTTCTAAGTCATCAATTTGAGCCATAATCTCCGAGATATATCGTTTATTAAAACAGCGCATTGTGGAAAGGACTACACCACCAGTAGCGAGCTGTATTACATTTTTTGACAAAAAATAATAAAATAATGTTGAAAAATTTTAATCGCGTTGCTGGCCCTTAGTTTTGGTTTTAGTATGTACTTTTCATTTATAGGTCGCGACGCATCTACTGGTCGAAGAATTTGTGAATTTTTTTCGAGTTAATACATTTTAATGAACTTATAAAACAATCAAACATTTTAGCAATTTACGAAAAAAGTCGAGCGTTCTTAACAAAATACTTTGTAACTATGATTGTATTGAAACCTAATTTTAGAAAAAAAAAGAGCTGTCAATAGCTATTTATCTGCTTCGGAATAGACAGGAAAAAACCAAATGAAAACCATTAAAGAAAGTCTTAAAGTCGGGCGGGGCCGACTTTTTAAGACCCTACACCCCTTTTTTATAATCATAACAAATAAAAGTTTTTATGGGAAATTTGTGAAAAATAAATCATACCAACTATAATTATAGTTATAATTTAAAGTCCAAAGGAACTAATATATGAGAGGAAAGGATTCTCTGAATCGATTTCTACAAATTTTGCCGAGGCATTTGTGTCCTTTCAATTCGGGCTTATATTACCCATTTGGCGCACTATTAACTTTAAATCGGATAAAGATATACAGGGTGAAATTAAAAAACTGCAACCAACTTCAGACTGCTGTCATTTCCAAGTCACTCGTCCGACAGTTTAAAATTATTCCAGTGACAGCTCATTATATTGTTTACAATCGTACAAAAGCATTTTGGTTTGATGGAATTCAAGCGTGATAGTGTGATTTCTTTATATTTGGCTGGAAAACCACAACAAGCAACATCAGCAGAAATGGTTCGAAAAGTAAAGAAGCGACTTAATCGAAACCCGCGTCGCAATGACCATCGGAGAAAAACAAAATTCGACAGTTCACCACTTTCGGCCAAGCGAAGCAACCCTTTAGCTCTTTTGAGTCTATTTTCTTTCTGTTGTGGTGTAAGTTCTTGCACTTTTTGAAATTGCAATGGCTTTAACCAGAGCCCATTTTTCAATATTTGCCGAATGGAATATTGCGATATTTGCAGCTCACGAGCCATTTTTCGGCCACTGCGTGGATTTCGATCAAGTCGCTTCTTTACTTTTCAAACCACTTCTGCTGATTTTGCCATTTTCTTCCGTCTACTTCCTTGATGTCGGGCTACTCTGCTAGTATCACGGTAACGAGCGATGTTATGACTTATTCACATTGAAATGCTAGAGTGTTCTAACGATAGCCACTTATGGTTTTCCAGCCAAATATAAAGAAAAGACACTATCACGCTTGAATTCCATCACGAATACCTTTTTTTTGTCGAAAATTCTCGCCAAAATGCTTTTGTACGCTTGTAAACAATATAGTGAACTGTCATTGGAATTATTTTAACAGCTGTCGGACGAGTGGCTTAGAAATGACAGCAGTGTGAAGCAGCAGTGAAGTTTAGGAGCTATATCAAGATTTAGACCGATTATCTCCAAATTCAGTGGGGTTCGTCCTTGGGTCAAACAAATGACTTGTGCAAAATTTCTTCTGAATCGGGCAATTACAAAAATACATGGACTGACAGACTGACGGACGGAGATGAATAAATCGACTATGAATGTGATTCTATGCAGTACGTCAAAAGGAACTATGGGTCTACCTCGTTTCCTTTTGAATGTTACAAACAAATGTACAAACATAATACCCTGATCACGTTGTGGTGTAGGGAATAAATATTTCAATCTCAAACAATCAACGAAATCTGGCTCTGGGTTGCTGGACAGTATCCTTGCCTCTTTGATGAAGCTGTCAAAGTCCTTCTTCTTTTAACAACCTCTTCGGTTGTTAAACTTAGTGTGACTCATTTGTCATAAGCCATTACAAAATTCAAATGCGAAACTTAAAAAAAACGGTTATAATGTCGATAAAATCAAAATACCAAACATGGGGGCTATACGAAGACGTGGACCTGCACAGACAATTTTCTGTCGTAGGCTGTAGTATCCATTACGAACTTCACATATCAAATTTGAAACAATTCTGGTGAAAAATGTCCCTAAAATCATTAAAATACCGAATATCGGGAGGTACCGTTAGATGGGGGCTTTACGAAGCGGTGGACCTGCACAGACAATTTTCTGTCTTAGGCTGTAGTATCCATTACGAACTTTAAATACCATAAATACTATACCAAATGTGGACCTACATGGCCCATTTTCAATACCAAAAGTCCTGCAGACATAACATAAATTTGAGCAAAATTTTATCAATCTACTTCAATTCGTTCGGAAGCTAGAGTGATTTCCACATACGGACGGAAATCGCTAAATCGACATAGAATTTTATGCTGATCAAGAATGTATATACTTTGTGGGGTCAAAAATATGTATTTCGAGGTGTTACAAACTTAATATACTCTTCATACTATGATGGAGGGTATTAAAATAGATCCTTCCCATTGGAGTAAATTGTTTGTAGGCTATTTAGTATTATTATATAAAGCTACTCCTTAGTGATATTTCAAACTTGTATTTCCAGTGTTAGTACCACTTTTTTCAAAGAGTATACAATTATTAAACGCTGTTGGTCGGAATCTAATGAACTCTGGGAACCAATGGTCTAAACCGAATATGCTGTAAGCTAATGCCATTTCTATTTAAAAAGGTATAAAGGTAGTTATTTTTAAATGGAAATAAACACCTAATTTCTGGTAACGGACTACTTTCTGTGTGTGGAAGTACCTAATCATATTCCGACTCCACCACTACCTGACACTCGTCATTTTTATTATCTGTGCCACTTCCGACCTAATAATCGCTTTAGATATGAGAAAACTTTTTCGTCAATAACTGTGCAACATTAGCTCACCGAAGTGGGCGAATATTTCGGCGGTTCCAAGAGACAACAAACATTTTTTTCGGAAAAAAATATTTAAAAATTTACTAGGCCAATTGGCTATCTTTTAGGCACATCCTCATTATAAGGGTATCTTCAGAATTTACGCATGTTGATGCTTTGAGAAGCATTTTCCAGTCAAATTAGTATTTTAGCGTCTTAGGTTCTTAAACCACCATTTGCCCTCGTAAGGGGTAAATCTTGATATCGGGAACATCACTGATCCCCATCCTGATTTCCGGCAAAAGGGGCTAGAATTTAACATTTTGGATGCTTATGCAATGGAAAATAATTGGACAGTCATTTGATTTTCTTCGTTTTTTAATAAATAATATACTAACTGGCCAGTCGGCGTTGCCTGCCCGTAATTTTAGTCTTTAATGCATATTTGTTAAAGCATAATAAATCACAGATCTGACTTGTGTAAGCGGCACGATCTTTATTATAAGTTATGACTCCATAGTAATTTCTAAATATAAATAAATATTCATGGCAAAATTATAATAGATGTTCGCCTACCGTCGGTTTAAGATATTTTGAATAGCCTGATCTTATTTTTTAGCCATATGCTTAAATGTGAGTGTCCAAAACCCATATGATGTAGAACATCTACAATAGCCCCATGTGAAAACGCAGCTCAATTTTTGGTGTTTTAAAGTGCTTAGCAACAATACCCATTCAAATTAGCTATAATTTGGAATTTGTATTTAACAACGTTTAGAATGGTGCGTGGTATTTAGTTTTGTCCACCTCATAATTAAGGGCAGAATGATTTTGTAATGAATGAATATTCGTAATTATACCCTACACCACAAGGTGGTCAGGGTATTATGTCTTTGTGCATTTTTTTGTAACAGGCAAAAGGAAAGGAGATAGACCCATAGTTCCTTTTGATGATCTGCATAGAATCTCATTCTGAGTCGATTTATGCATGTCCGTCCGTCCGTCTGTCCGTCTGTCCATGTATTTTTGTAAACAAAGTACAGGTCGCATTT